ATAATTTACCTTTTCATCATTAATGTAGTTTATGTGCTTACTTTCATAGTTGAGTGACTAAGAAAGATATCCACTGAAAAGATGTCTGGTATTCTAGCTAGTTGTATGGGTATTTGCAAGTCTTGTATATACCTATTTCAAAAATCGTTGTCGCACCAAGAGCCTCAAGTAACAAGCCAAGGCTCCAGAGAATGTTGGTACTTTTAATTATAATTGATTTATTCATGGTTCATGCAAGTGGCTATAGCTCTCCACTAATTATAATCTCAAGCAGCCTTGCTTGGAGCAATTTGTGAAGTCAATAAATAAAAATGCACCATGAATAAACTAATTACAGCTAAAAGTACCGGCGTTCTCTGTGGCCTTGGCTTGTTGCTTGAGGCTTTTGGTGCGACAACGATTTCTGAAATAGGTGTTAATGGTGTGCATAACAACAGTACTGTTATCATCATCAGTGACCATATTTTAAAGTAGATTTTGTATGACCATTAAAAATTACAGCATACTACAGACCTTGCTCACGTGGCAGCCATGTTGACTGGAACAATAGTTTTCCCCAATAGTTAGCCTTACATTCAAGTGCTCGAGAATAAGTTTATGTAGGTTACACAAAGGTTTTTATTCCAATGAGAATAAACATGGCTGCCGCATGAGTTAGGCCCTAGTGAGATGGAAACATGGTGCATTGTGGTCTAGCTTTGGTACAAACATCATTTGCACTATTTCTTATATTGATGTGTTGTTTGTACCAAAGCTAGACCATGACATGTCCCGAGACCTATTGAATTAACAGCATCTGTTAAGCCAATCACAGCTTGCAAAAGACTTAACCAATAAAAATGATTGGCACCATTGAAGTCATGACCAAGCACCTGAAATCATGATTTTTTTCCAGTCACCCAAACACTGCCAACTGTCCACATGTTTGACCCTTCTTGATCCTGTTGCCAAATGTTATATTTTGTATCTTTGCACTGATGGCCAACATGATCCACATGATGCCATGTTAGTTCATGTCTATCTCTTCAATACACTTGATTGCTCTAATGTCAGAAGAAATGGGAGCTTCCACCATGAACTTCACACCAAACCATTTACTTTGGACCTAAACATAAGGGATAACATAAGTTTAGTTTAAAAAATTAAATAATATGGTATGCGCATAGTTCAGTGTTACATCTGTGAAGGCTGACAATCAATGTCATTGCCTCTTGTGCATATCTAAACTCATTTATCAAGCTCATTAATAATTCATGAGGAAAACACAACAGAAATCACGACTGTGAAGAGTGTTGTAAATCTGAATCAAAACTGTGTTCATTTGCATAAACTTTAAGTTGGATTTTCTTGGCCAAATTCACTTTAATTTTGAAAATTTTAGTGAAACACAAAGGAACTAACCTAGACGTTTGACAAGCAATCTACAGAATTCGTGTCCGTGTTGTATCCGATATACAAATGCTCGGCTACGCCTCGAGTTCGTATATCGGATACAACACGGCCACTCATACTGTATATATTACTTATGCCATGAAAGAGACTGTCTTCAATGGATGATTCAATCTTTTGCTTACTGGTATGTCAGTGAAAACCTATTGACACCTATAAGACAGGTTACCCAATCCAATAATTATTACTTCAGACTCAAAGTGTCTTATATAATGACTGTTCTGTCACAGCAATTACCTTTTCAAAATGTTCAGACTTAAGAGTTGTATATTCAATCAAAACTTCTCTGAGTTCTGATTCTTTTCTAAGATCAAAGTGTGACAGTTCAAATTTCAAGTCTTGACAAAGTCTTTCTAAATATGCCTTGGCTTCTGCACAGTTTGAGTTTGCCTGCAAAATAAAGAAACCCCAGTTTTTGAATGCAGTTTTTGAACATTAATTCATTGGCAGTGAAACGGGAATGGGGAAAGGCTTTGATCCACAGATTCAACTTTTGCTGCCATGTTCAAGGCTGAAGGTAGCCATGAGATGTTTGTCTTTCACAACTGTGAGCTCATTTTGTCAGATTCAACTTTTCGGTGCGAGTGCTCTGGACACAATATTTAAATGTGTAGTGATAGTGTTATCTGTTAGCAGCCTTGGAGATATTACTTTGAGTTCACTTGATTCTTTATAGAAATGGCACGCGTGCCAGTAAGCTGCAAGCATGTAACACGTAGAGGGGTATCACAGCAGCTATGCTTTGGGGCAGAAACAATGCAATATTTTTGCATGAAAAGCGATTTTTTCCTTTTCAAACGGGGAAACTTTCAATGGTTTATTTTTCCCTGTATCATGACTACCATGTAAGCCCTAGATGGAAGGGGAATTGGCTCAATCTGTTTAGACAGGGGCCCTCATATAAACCCACCTCTGCCCATCTCTGGGTTAAACTTTGGCTTTCTTCTGCACTGTCATTTCCAGGTTCCTACGAAACAACAACAAACACCCTTGTTAAGGCCTTGTCCATGCTTTATACAATTATTACTGACATAAAAATAAAGAGAAATTAGAGAAAACGTTGTTAGACTGATGATGCATACCGTCATCTCTTCACATTGACGCACTTCAGCATCCCAGTGCAAGAATGTGCCAACAGCTTGTTCGACTCTCACCAGCAGTTTCTACAAGATGTTGAAAAAAAAAAGAGATGAAATGTAGATGACTGTCTATGAATGTCTGCTCATTGGCTGAATATGATGACCGGTAATATCAGAGTAATCAACACATGAACAGTCAATGTGGCAGGTCAAGTGGTAAGCCTAATCATTTTGACTTTTGAATTTTGAATCCCTGGAAATGTGATTTCCAGAGTTTTGAGGGGCATTTGTGACATTTTACTGCAAGGTAACTTTCTCGCTTGACTCATAGTTGCTATGGCTCCACAAGGAAACAGATTTCCTCTTAATAAGAGGTTTGACCCTTCAAAAAGTTCAAAACTATAACCCTCCCCCTTGAAGCCCTAGCCCCACCCANCCCCCCCCATTAAAAAAGTATCCTCCCTAAGAGGCACTTGGCAGCCAAGAAGTAAAACATTTTGGCTGCGACTTAAACAACACCTATTCTAGTACTCCTATTATCAACTATAAGACTTATTATCAATCCGTCTTCCAACTGGATAGTAATATTTACCTTTGCACTCTTGACATATTCTGCTATACTAGTAAGATCGCTGACAATAAGATTCTCTTCTGTTTCCTGGGAAATAATGATAATAAACTTGTTAATCCTTAAGTCTTTAAAGCTCCCTTACCTAGAACTGGCTTATTATTTTTTGATTACTACAAATAATTCAGGTTTTCATACTTGGTCAGCAGGTTTAGTGACCACTTGGCACATGGGATGTGGCTGGTGATGGACAAATTTTAAAAATGACCAACAAAATGAATAATGACAACATTAAGTTTTGCTTGTTTTCCTTGATAAATATAATTTTAGTTTGATGCAACCATCTGTAGTCACCCCTTCTAATACCTCTGGGGTCTCAGGTTCGATGATGAAAGGCCAAATTTAGCTCCATCATACATCATTTCTGGCTCAACTTTACTGGTCAAAATAACAGGGAAGGCAAAAATTTGACCAGACAAGTAAGTTCCACTTCTGGGTGGACATTGTCTGATGTCAAGTCATTATTTCAAGCCCTGAGGTGAGTAGAGTTTGTTGGGTGTTTTTCTGGATTTAAGTGTTTTTTTCTTCAAGTTCTATGGTTTTCCTCCCCCTGCAAAACAAACAAGCTAAATTCCAATCTATCTTGTGAGTTAGTGGTGCCCTGACTTTCATCAGCCCAGAGGTAATGTTTCAAGTTATTGATAAAATTTTTAGGTTTGAAGGCTGTTAGGAAATGGTGTGCATACCATTATACACTAGATATTATAAGTAAAATTAAAGTTAAAAAGGAAGACCTACTTTATAGTTTCCCAGCTCATGACATATTTTACTCAGTGCTGCACATGCCGCCTGTAAAATAACAACACTCTGGTGAAATAAAACTCTCTGAGATATAAATAGTCTAGTCAACTGTCTGTCACAGTTCTTTTTTTCAATATCTATGTCAGTCCAACGTATGAAGCGTAGCATGGTACTCACTTTTAAATAGGTATCTGTAGGCTCCCCTTCTGATAATAATTTAAACCAAACTCCCAAATCTAAAAAAAAAAAAACTTTATAAATAAGATATCTTGGAATGAATTTTTTCACTGATCTGCTATGAAATTGTAGAATTCAAAAAATAAATAAATAAATGAATAAATAAATAATAAATAAAAAACAAAGTTATCAATTAATTGATGGGCCAAGAACGTTAAGTTGTGGATATTTTACCTGTAGATTTGTCTTCTGTTGATATTTGGATATGATTGATTAATTCTTGTATATGTTTATTCAGTGATTCCATGTATTTCTGCAATCAGATCAGATAAAAACTAACATTATTATCTTTTCCAACTAGTAGCTAGAAATTATATATATGGCTAATATATTAGCCATTCTCAGATTGAGTTCAAACCTGGGTTGAATTGGTATTGCAGTGCATTGTGGGACTGTTTTAGGGGTCTTATTTCAGAGATCCCCTAAAACAGTCCATAATGCATTGCAATGCCTACTTTTCTAAACCTCAGTGGAGGGGAGGCTGGGGGGGGATTTACATCCAAAGCACCCTCCCCTGAATCTGTCATGACTTGGGGGCACAAATAAATATTAGGTTGGTAAGTGGGGTACTACTAGAATGGTGTTACAGACTGTAAAATTCAGAATCCATATAGTCCTTCGCCCCCCTAAAGACATAATTAAGAAACGAAGTGTCCCTTATTGGTAACAGTGTGTAATATACCATTCTGAGAGCCTGATTTCTGTAATCCATTATATTTTAAATGAATGCATGTTATATGGTATTCAGGTAAAATCATTGAGTCATTTTCAGTACCTTGCATTTAATTACAGGTGCATTTTCATCATAACCTTGTCTGTCAGATATGACTTCTGTGGTGTCTGAAATGCTTTTTCTCTTATCAAGCTGTGCCTGTGCTGCTTCTAATTCCTAGTTGTATATAATATTATATTAAAATATTTGAAACATATCACACACCCTGATCGACTGGCTACCTTGCTTTTATTAGAGAGCAGAGACATGCTTGTACAAAATCATTCAAATTTTAGAAAAGCAATATTAAATGGTGGCTTGTGTCTCTGTATTGTGAAATAAACACTCTGGGAGCAGTACATGTGGAGCATTTGAAAAGCAAGAAAAACACCTCACGTTTATCTTGCCTTTTGAGTTCCACAAGCTTGCTTCTCTCAGCTCTACAGCTCCAACAGCGTTTATCTCACAGTACTGAGACAGGGGTGCAAACATTTTTTATTCCTTAGTTACTATAGATGTTGGTACACTTTGTGTAATATGATCATCTAAGGCTAAAATGAGTCTAAATTTTTAAAGGGCTCATAAACTAGGCGGGCATGTATTCAGGAGGAGGGGGACCGATTATAACCAAGAAAACAATTTTTGGCAAAAAAGAAGAAATGGTTATTTTTGTTGTTTTATCTTCAATATTTCCTTTGTCATCATCTATTGCCATGAGATACCAGATTATAACTGGGGGTGGGGGGTAATCCATATTAGGAGTTGGAGATTGCCATCAAGGTGTGAATAAACTAACCTCATTAAATCCAGTTAAAAATAAATGCAGCCATCCATCATGCTTCAAAGCCTTGGGATAATGAATCACAATATTAAAATAATTAAAGGGATCCTTCAGGATGTTGATTATGTTTCTTGAAGTGGAATAGAAAGCATATTTTAAATATTTTTTCTAAGTTCTGTAGTGTCATTCGCAACATTCGGTCAAGCCCCCCCTCATATTTTTGGCTGGATCCACCCCTGGGCTATTCACCTGGTTAGAGCCTAGCTTTGTTGTGGTTGTTCCATGCTTTGATACAACAGCCAGAGATTTGTTGCTTTTCCCTTTAGCTTGGACATGCTTTCTTATTTCGAATGTGTTTTCCCTTTGAGTACATACTATTGCATTAGAACTCCTCTGATACATTATGGGTGAAACTCAGACAATTAGTAATTTGGTTATAATACATTGGTGAGAAAAATTGAATACCTTGTGTGAACAAATTCTTGATAAAAACCTTTGAAATTCTCTTGTTTTTCCTGCGAGTGTAACAGAAAAAATGTTTTAGAAAGCACCATTGTCTTAATACAGGATTTCCCTTCCTTTCTTATTTAGCCCCAATTTCAAAATTTTCAGGGAGCGGGGGGTTATTTTAAATTTGAAGGAAGATAAACTAAGCTACTAATTGTATTGTAGAAGAGTAAATGGTTTGAACCCAGGTGTTGAAGTTTGGTGTGAAATGTGATTGTCCAGGTGAGTGTAGTCTTGAGAAAGACTGTTGTTGGTGGTGACTGACGTTTCGACAACCTGAGTGGAAGTCATCTTCAGAGTCCAGTGATCAGAAAAAGAGACACAGTCGGTGGTATTTATACCTCTGGTTTGATCATAATGTAAATGGTAATTAGTTGGTATTGTTATGTAAAGACTCATGGTTGTTATCACAAGTCACAGTCTTAATTGCAATGTACCATTTAATGAAGTATGTTTGACAAGTGGGGGGACAATTCTTTCTGGTAGTGCCTCCTGCAAAGCCTCCTGAAGCCATTCAAAGTGTGCTTCACTTCTGTGTACTTCATACAGTGGGAACTGGTAATTTGGAAGTGTTGTCTGATTGGAAAAGTAAAAAAAAACCAGTTAGTAAGCTTTAAGTAAACATGGTATACAAAGTATTTCACAAAGGCAAAAAGAAAAAGAAGGAAAAACTGGAGAAAATGGAAGCCATCTTTGAAATATGTCCCCTAAAACAGTCCCTCAATGCACTGCAATGCCAACTTGACCTCGTGTTTTCCCGAACCTAAGAATGGCTAAGGGTGAATACATTCCTCATCAAGGTTCAATACATTTTAAAAGTTTTGCACAGTACAATATTATTCTTGTGGAGCATGTCTTCCCAATATGTTGCATAATTTACACACCTTGGTGACAACTTTAAATGTTGCATTTTTCTGGTCTGTTTCAGAGTATGTGACGTTTACTCTTAACATGTCAGGTGTAGGTGTGCTAGGCCTGTGATGAGAGAATAATGATTATGGTATGTTATTTCGGTACTTATAAGTATAATTTGGAAACTGCCACAGTGAATAAATTACTTCACTTGTCTAACTATTTAAAAGCCCCCTTTAAATGAGTAGCCTTTCGCCTCCTCAAATCTTTTATTATTTTTTAGTGTCCAGACTGGGGGGAATACGAGTGGCGTGCGCTGCTAATCCGCCACCTCTCACCAATGCGGCCCGAGTTCGAGTCCTGCCGGTCTCGATGTTGTATGTGAGTAGAGTTGTTCGTTGGTTCTCTCCTGTGCTTTGAGGGTTTTTCTCCGGGTTCTCCGGTTTTCCTCCCTCCTCAAAAATCAACTTCTAAATTCTAATTCGATCTTTGGGCTTTCACTTAGTTTGCAGCTTAGCTCTGTTGTGATTGTCCCATGCTGTGATAAAACAGTGAAAGCTAATTTGGTAGATTTGGTAGATTTTTAAAATGTCACCTAACCTTCAAATGTAAATAAAAGTGTCACTTGATGTTGCCAACATGGCTTTCATTTAGTACACTTACTGTTTTGTCAGCTTTGGTTTTGTACTTCCTTTATCTTGAGAGGAGCATATTTTTGAATGACTTGCTAATTCACTGACTCTGCAATGAAAAAAGCACAGCTGCTAAAAGGTGGCATCTAGAAGTGTGTGTAGCTACAAGTGCTTATGTAATAGTCATTACACTTACAGTGGCACCTTGATTTTGTTTGGTGTCTGCTTAATGAAGTGTATCTACTCAAAGTCCTTTGTTCACGTTAGATATGGGAAGAAAATGTGGTGACTAGCTGTCGTTTTAACCAATTATGCCCAACAAGGGACCTGGCTTACAAGCTGCCAAAATCCCAAGTGGTCAAAGCATATAAAGAGCATTATTCGGTATACCTTTAATTTTGCCTTTTAATGTGAAAACAAGCCAAGCTAGTATTTTGTGAGCCATATATGGCTAACTTGGGATATAAAGGGTTAACAATGAAGGGCGTCTGATATCACTGCCTGTACTTAGTCACTCTGACACCTTATGTTTCATGTCAGCTAATGCCGATGACGTAAGTTTTCTAAAGTGACACTTAGTATACTGCTTACTTTATCTTTTCTGAGCACAGGGTACATGAAAGCATGAGGTCATCTTCTCCAGTGCTTGGACATCTTTGCTGTAGGTAACAAGAAAGGAAGACTTTAAATGAAGAGAATTAGCAAAGTTAAAAGATAAATAAAACATGTACCAGAACATGCAATCAAATGTTTTAACATTACATTTAAAATAATCTGATATCTAAAGCTCTAACCTTTCCTTGCAGAATAACTCCATTTGGTTGTTTAGCTTCTTTTGCAAGGATTTTATCTAAAACCTTGATCTGAAATAATATGAAAAATAATATATCAGAAAAAGGATTAATTCCAAACATAATTTCATTATGTCATATCAAGGCATATTAGCACAACAGTTACTCAATTGCTGAGCACGAAGAGGGTAGTTGAGGCGAGGTAATTTTATTATGTCAAACAACATACCGCAGATTTGTTTCCTGACTTGTGGATTTGAGTTTTTATTTCTTCAAAGACATCTTGATATTTCTTGGTCATTTCTTGATGCTAAAATAAGTAGAGATTGATTTTGCTTCAAATTTAATAACATGGAGATTATAATTTCCAATATGGTAAAATAAAAGGATAACAAATGATATAAAGGTATTTACAGCAATGATAGACTTTTGTGCAATTTCTAATTCTTCTTTGGTTGCAATAAGGACTTCACTTGCAGCATAGTATCTGTAGGGAGAGAAAGAAAGAGAAAATGAATAAGAATATAACATATCTTGAATAGACACTTTGATGGTTGTATTAGCCGTTCCAAGGTTGAGAAAAAAACTTGGTTAAGTTTGCACTGGAGCATATTCTAGCACTGTTTGAGGAGACAAGATAAAGGCCATCTCAGAAATATGTAATGCCAATATTGTAATTTCCTCAATCTCAGAATGGCCAATCCTGTTAAAAAAAGTGATCGCAATCTGATAAACATCCTCAGTAGCCATGGAGCAAGGTTTGATTTAGAAGGTAGGTGTTGGGGGATGCTAGGGGTTGGGGGATTGATGGGTTGGTAAACTGAAGTCTTCCTAGCCTACTGTCTGTCATTCTTTCAATTGGAATAATACTTCATAGAAGGGCGAAAATGACAGTATGATATCAAATTCCAGAAAATATCCATGCTATTCCTCATTGAATACTAGATGTTAGATATTAGATCAATTCTCCCAATGACCCTTCAAAAAATTGCAATCATGACCAAGGGGCTGATCAACCTTGCTTGCAATACTTCTTTGGTGCTTGCATGCATGCATAGGTTTATTGGGAATTCAACTTGCTCTAAACAAGGGGTTTGGGTATTTTCTAAAACTAGCCCAAGAGCCAAGAAAGGAAAGCATTTATTTTTTGGAAAAGAGAGAGAGGAAAAATAGAGTAAGAAAAAGAAATAGATTTTAGATGGTTTGAAAAATAACTTAACTCAAAATTATGCTTTGACATAAAGTTTCAAAATTTCCAATATATTATGTACTAGTTCTCCTCTCTCTCTGTGGTATTGTTCCTATCCCTTAAAAGCTACACATTATCAACAGCAAATAATGATTCCAACAAGTAAGCGATAAGTGCATAAATCAACATCATGAATGAGAAGAGATAACTAGCTAAAAACTAGTGTGAGCTGCGTCGGTGTTTCTAAWGAAACAGTAATGATAAAAAGGTAAATTATACACCGTGAAAAGATGAAAAAACTTACTGACGTTTCGGACGCTAGTCCTTCGTCGAAGGCTAGTACTCTTTTTCATCTTTTCACAGTGTATAATTTACCTTTTTATCATTAACATTATGAATGATTAAGCAAGTTATACTACCAAGCACTATTGATCTTCTATTGTAAATAGTGCTATATAAGTAATAAATTATTATCATTTTGATTATTAAACTAAAAAGGCAACTATTATAATTAGAATATTATAAATGATTATTATTCAAATATCAGTATCTCTTACGATGCAAAATTGATTTTGGTATCAAATTATCTATATATGCAGACAATGAGTTCAAGTTAAAACATATTGCATAACGATATTATAAGTTCAAAGTTATTTCATATAACAAAAGTAAATGATTAAAAAAACTAGAACAGCAGTGTTATTATTATGGTTGAGCACTGAGTTGGAGGTTAGTGTTTTAGTTCTTTTTTTGAGTATGTATGCATCAAAAACGGATAAAAATCAATGATCTTACTGCTGTAACAACTGATGCAAGAGCTGTACATTTTTGCCAAACTCTTTCTTTGACCTTCAAAATTAAGAAGTGAGTTGTTAGGAATAGAGATAACGTAATCCACAGAAAAAGAGAGAACTTTGCGGTACAAACAAAAGAAAGTTTGCTTGGCAATGTACACATGACCTAAAATATACTGCTATATTTTGTCTTATTATACAGCCATAAACTAATTTAACCAACTTTGAATCACTTTGAGTCTCATATTCAGTGTGATGCATGTTATCTTAATTTTAAACATTATCCAACAAGAATGTGGTCGTAATATAGTGGGTTCAGTTAACAAACAACCCAAAGTCCCTGATCTGCCCATCCCTACATTCATCGATACTGTCTTACTCAAGGGCAGATCCAGGGGGGCAAAGAGGGATTGAAGCCCCCCTTCGGCAGAAAAACAAAACAAAACGGAACTGAAAAATTAGATGCTTTTTTTTATTGTTTTCCATTGTGTTGATGGAAGAAACTCAATTAGCCCCCCCCCCAAAAAAAACATTTTTGGCTGGATCCTCCCTTATTACTATCAAAATGCTCTTTAAATCTAGCATGCCAGGCATGCCTAGTTGACAATTCAAGTGACAATCAACAACACAAAATAAAATGAACATACACCCACTTATAAATAATTTACACCAACCTCCTCTTAAACATAACTGGTCATAATTTAATTAAGGCCATCTTATAACAAGAATATATACTTGGTATCTTGTATAGGTATTTACCTGTCACTTAGCATTTTTATCTCCTTTTGTGCTTCTCCCAGCCTCTTCTTTGTAGCTTCCAGCTGTCTTTCAAGGTCTTCTTTCACAAATATAGCCTACAATAATAATAAAATTTGATCAATCTAAGCCTTTTTAACCAATAGACCTATAGACAAACCAATGGGAAGCATGGGTAGCGTAGTGGTGTGAGCGCTCGCCTCTCATCAATGCAACCCGAGATCGAGTCCTGCCAGGTTCAGTGTTGTATATGAGTAAAGAGTTGTTTGTTGGTTCTCTCCTGTGCTTCAAGGGTTTTCCGGGTTCTCCGGTTTTCCTCCCTCCACAAAAATCAACTCCTAAATTCCAATTCGATCACAGGGCCACAGGTTTGTTAGCCATTGGCTATTTAGTGCTACCCTCATGAAAAAAAAAAAAGGACATGAGAGCATAGGCCTTTCTTTCCTATGAAAAAAGCTTCTGGATTGTTTACATTTTTGTTACCAAAAAGTTGCAATTGGATTTATATTTTAAAACTCTTCCACTGAAATCATAGAAACTTCGTTAACTTGAAGACAATATTTTAAAAAACGTCTCATTATAAGGTGTATAAAAAATGACCTGATGTCACTCTGTTGCCATAGTAACTCCGATGTGTATATCAAGTGAAACTTGAATCTTATTCTAGACTTTTCATAACAATTTATTTGAAATTAGCTTGTGGACAGCAATGCATTTCCTGATCAAACAACGAAGGTAGCCAGTAACAAAAACCCATTCGAGCCATCTTAAGAAATTTGACTTTCTAATGGTCTCTAATGTAGACGTGTTTCTTGGACTTCATTAAAAAAATCAATAAACAGCATTTTTCCATTCATAGTTTTAGAGATTAGTAGTAAATTAAAAAGAAATTTCAGAAAAACTAGACAAGTTGCGTAAAAGTTAAACGAAAACACCAGATTTTTGATGTGGAAGATGTAAATAATTTATTGATAGCCTTGAGGTGTTGTTTACAAGGCAACTACCAGGCTTCTTGAATTAAAATATTTGGATTAAACATGTCACGTAAATAAAAACTGTTAGATCATATAGCATATATATGTCTAAAAGTTTTAATGCATTTAAATTTGAATAACAAATATGTCATGTACATCTAAAAATTTGGTAGAAAAGACTAAGTTTTTCATGAATAAACAACATGGCATTGTTTGTCATTAAACAACTTGAAGAAGACGTACTCGTACAGTAAAAATGTCTTGTAATTTTAGATTCTATTCCCCTATGGTGAGAGGTCACAATTTATAATAAATACCATGGGTTTTTTCACACATAGGTGGCATTTTTTAAGAAGTAAAATTACCTAATTTATTTCCTGGCGTTAAGAATTTTGAATTTCTGTAAGCTTAATTGAATTTCTGAGAAAGGTTTTTAAATGCAAACAAACTTCTTTACCTTGAGTGCTTCGCTGTCCTGACTCTCCGACAAACTCTCCTGATCTGAGTTATTTTGGTCTGTCTTGACAGAATCGTTTTCAGTGATTGCTGTATCCATCTCTATGACATAGTCTATTGGTATGATTCCTTGTTCTGTGGGTGGGTAAGTCTCAATCAAAAGTATTGAGTTGTTATTAAGGATTGTTCTCTCGACATTGGCCCAATGTTTGTCACGGTAACTCAGAAATGTGAAGTGATCTCCTATATGGAAAGAAAGCGGATTAGCGCCATCACTAAAGCAGACATCAGCAGCGTTGAAGTCTTTTATTGCTTGTAGCTGTCGACCTTTGAGCTTGCTCTTATATTGGCAGCTCATCTTCGGATTTTCCTGATATTTCTTAAATACTTTCAAGTCAATGTCGTGATCATGGAAGCCACGAATCACTTCATGCCAACCAGAGTTTATATCCCTCAGCGTCTTAACCACAGTGATATATAACTGAATATCACTATGATCTGTCTGTTATGCTGTGTCTGGATACAGCTGAGAGCACAAGAACAACTGAGTGAAAAGCATGATTGAACAATACTCACCTTTAGATATTTACAGACTTGGTTTGCCCATCGACCGCGACGTCCCAAGACTAAATATCCCAGAGTACTTAGCGAAATAGCCGGCCAGACGGCGACCGACCGGAAATAAATGAGCCACGCCAACTTCCGTTTTCTTCTCAACTATCTTAGAAATATCCATACCCTAATGATGTGATACCATATAAAGTATGGRCGTGTAGCAAGAGTGTGGATGTGTGTAAAATTTGATCATGAAATTACAGTGAAAGAAACGGTGTTTTAGGCGAGTCTGTGCATGCAGTCACCAACCCCCCACCCCCTTCTCCCAAGGATATCCAAGAAAAATTGGACAGATGAAGAGGGGTGATAAAAATAATTTAAATAATTTAAATTTTAATTTAGAATAATTTTCTGAAAAATGTTAATGTAAATAATGAATGGTTATTTGTCTCATCCAGGTGGGTGAGCCAATGGTCAAGTTGTGAATAAAATGAATATTTCAAATTGACAGCATAATTACACTGCTATCAATGTCGGACTGATGAGGTAAACGAGTAAAACAAGAAAAGTGTTCACCATAAATAGGCTTTTTGACATTACTTCGTAGATGGCAATAAATTATCTCTGGCAAAAGAGGGCCTGCACTTATGAATTTTTTGTTATTTGCTACTAGGTTTGGCACTTACTTGGTGATGCAGGGCACCAAAGTAGCTCTTTCTATCTATCTGTAATGTATGTAAGCAGCAACCCTAGGGTTGAAATGTTGAAAAATTTAAGGATACCTCTCTTTATCGTATACTGCAATACTACTATAAGTATCATTAACTCACATTTTTTTGATGTTTGGCTCCTCCTAGCTACCTAATTCAATACCAAACCACTGGAGACCAATGGGTTATGACCCTTTTCTAGCTGCAGTCAATTTAAACAAAATATCTTATTTCATTTTAGTCAAAACTGAAATAAAATTGTTTGGAACCGTCCCATTTGTAGTCAAGGTTTATCAATTCCATATCTGAAGACCTTAGAAACCTTGCTAAATAGTCGTAACCAAGGGTAACCAAGAAGTCTTCTTGTGACGGTCACCCTGTGTTCGAGTTTTCCATGACGTAAACAACCCATCCTCCCCCACATCAAAACAACATGGCCACGAGAGAAAACGAACCAGATAACACTACCGAACAAATCATCGAGGATGATTATCTGCAAGACCCCGATCCGCATCAGAAACGGGTAGAAATTTTCTTCAAGCCTCTAGAAGCAAAATGGGACTTCGTAAGAGACGTTTTGTTGTGGAAAAAGCCAGTTTATTCGCTTGCTATTTTCATTGTTGTGAACGGAATTTTCAGGTACATATTTGAACCCTTTCTTGTGACGTATGATAAACTGTGTGTGTTAAAGAGTCTTCTGATATCTCGATATTATTACTTCTTAGCTTCTTTGCAAGCGGAAATTTTCGGTTGTTTTTAATCATCAACGCAATAGTGGGGTTGTGTCTTTGTTCGGAGGGCATGAGAAGCAAAATGGCAAGTGTTCTCGAACAAGGTAAGCTTAATTAAAGTTTACCTAATATAGAACGAATATGTATTCTGAATTCTTTACACAAGCTAGTAATATGACACTTATGAGAACCATTATTACTCCATCTGTTCGATGGTTTAACTCGATTACTTTTATTTTCAGCTAGAATAACTCCAGAGGAAAGAGAAAGGTAAGATACAGGAGCTGATCTGAATCGCTGAATGTCGTCTCTCGGTATTAATTAAGCCCCTTTTTTAGTTACATAGATCGATATATATATATATATATATTTATTTATTTATAATTGTAGATGTCCATGTCTATGACTTATGTGACAAATAATCGTATACCAAAGCGTTTGATTCTTTTTTCTAAGTACTAATTAAATAATCAGGAATTATAAATTATGCGGTGTGATATGATAATAATAATAGTCGTAATATATATATATTGGACTAATTTGACCATTAAATAAAGAGTTAAATGATTTTGGTATTACCTTCCTTCATTCTCTTTTTTTTCGTTGTCTTTTCCTCCTTTCCTTTCTTTTACTGGTGTTTCATCCATTGCTTTCATTCATTTGAAATTTATTTGTATTCTCATTCTTATTCTCGCTCATTTTTGTGGGTGCATTTATTTATTTATTTATTTAGTTATCTTTTTAATTCCTATCAGTTATGAAGCAAGTTTAATCTTCCAAAGATTTTGCTACAAAATTGCTCTAATATGGGGATTCTCAGAACTTCAGCTATCCAACCTAAAGGAACTGAGAAGAAATAGCAAACAAAAGGTAGCCTTTGAAACAGTATTTTTGAATAGGAATTAAATACCTTATGACTACATGTATATAGCTAGTTCTAAGTATGTGTTACAATATAATTTGTTTAAAGCCTTTTTGGAACATTTCATCTAACAGCTTTACTGTAGTTAAAAAAATGTATGAGATAGTGTTAGCTGGTGCTAGGTAAGGCGGTTCCAGTAAGGCCTTTACTGTATGATACGTACTGTTCTGATATTGATGCAATTCTTTTGGTTTTTCCTTCCAAGTTCTATGTGGTATTGGGTGTCTTTTTGGTTTTGGCATCATTTGCATACCAATATCTACCATGGCTGGAAATCTTCTATAGCACATGTAAGTTTCTGTAATAGACCAGTTTTGAGTTTCAAATTACCGCTGTGTTCCTTGATTACAGAATTATTTAACACAGGGTTAGCTTTGTATCAGTGGTTTAAATATTCACAAATACCAATGGTAAAGTAAATGATGCATAACTTCAACAATATAAAGACTTTGAAATTCGATGGACCTTGACTGGAACACATAAATATTCTGCACAAAATCAAGGCTAACCCTGTGTAAATGAGTCTGTAATCAAGAAACACAGCAGTAATTTGGAACTCAAAAATGGTCTTTTGAGTCTCATATTATTATTTTTATGTACTAGATAATATTGAAATAAGGGATTGTTCACTTTTTCCAGGGTTGGGGGGTCATGAAAAAAAATCAGGCTCAAGAGGTGGAGTCACATGAAGAAAATCTGACAGCAATTTTGATTTCATACATTTATTTCACTGGTCACACATTTATCATTTGTATTAATTATTAGTAGTTGTCTGTATTTATATTTTCTACATGGCATAATCAATAAGGTGTTTGTCGTCTGTTAATTCTATAAGTGCTGTTCCTGTATTTGTGGCCTCCTGCTAAGTACCATGGAACACACAGAGTGTTATTTGGAATGATTGAGCCATTTGTCCGACCATTTGTGGTACATTGGAAACACAGCCGAACTAAAAGACAAAGGAATCAAATCTTGAGAGGTAAGGTTATTAAGTGCAGTCTAGTATGTATTTTAATGCATGTGTGCTAAATCTTTACGCTTAACGTGAGACCCTTATATAAATTATGCATATGTCTTTGATCATGAATATCATTTATTATATATCTTTATTATTTGTGATAGCTAAAAAGGGTGAGGATTATGCAGAGGACAGCGAAGAAGAATTCACCAAAGAATTCAATCCAGAACCCTTGAAGGGAAATAAAAGGAAACAAAAAGCAGCTGCTAGAGAGAATCTTGGTGAAATTCCAACTGCTCCAGTGATAGAAAATGATGTGGTTTTACCACAACGGTCACGAGACGCAGCAGATGAACAACAACTTCTACCTCAGTATCCTGCAATTTCACTTTCAGCTGAAACACCAGAAGATGTTTCCTTGTCTTTTCCAACAGGAATGCATTTGGAATTACCAGAATATGAAGAAAATTTTGCTGAAGGTGGGAGTATCACTAAGTTAATAAATAATGTTGCATGTACTTCATTTCCAAACTGGTGGTCTGTTTTTTGCAATATAAATCCTCAAACTGTGACAGAAATTCGTTGCAAATGAACAATAAGTGCCAGGGGTGGGGTATGGGAATTGGGTGGCACAAAGGAGGGAAATGCCATTTTATGTAAGATGCTGTAAAGTTTTTGTTGTTCCATGATTTAAAAAAAAAACGCATTCTAAAACTATGTTTGTGTCTGTAGTGATGGGCATCCTGTGGAATTGAATTTTTGTGAAGAAATGTGCCACTCGCCACATCCCCTCCCTCCAACTCTGGAACTCTGGCTTAATTAATATAACATGATGCAAAATGATTGTCTTGACCACATACAATGCATGGCCAGTTTTCCTAATCTAGATCAAATTATATATCCTTCATATTAACATCTATAACCATTTTCATTTCTTTGTTCAAGGTCTCGAAACACCAGGGGGATCAACAGTGAGCTTTAACAGTTCAGCTTCATTCTTACCTGACAGCCAAGAATTTCCATCTCTGGCCACAAATGCAGATACATGGGACCTTGACGATGATGATTTGGCTATAGGGCTTGACTTCCCAGATATTGATGATAAAGATTACCATAGTTCAACTGAGTCCCTTAATGACTACATTGAAAAGACTGGAAAAAGCTCGCAAAACAGAGTCTTAAAACATTCGTCTCAGCAGAGAGCGATGGGAAATCAACAGGTCAAAAGAAGGGCAAAGAAGCAAACTCCAATGACATCATCCCAACAATCAGACATTGTAACTGATGGATGTGATTTTGAAATGTTAGACAAATCTGAGATAGATGACATGGATGAAACCATTGGAAATGAAGGAAGAGCTGGTGCAGGCGCTGGGTCATCACTTGGGAAATTTGTTGGAAAATTTTTAGGACTTTGACCTCACTAACCAATGTATATAATAGTCTTGAATTACTCTTGATCCACTAGAGAACATGTTGGAAATGAAGGCACCTTTGTACAGAAGCCACATTTTTCAGACACTGTATTCTCGTTTTGAGGACCTCGAAGTATACTATTACTGCTGTTTTCTATATTCTGCAAACTCGGTAGTTGTGAGCTGCATGAAATCTGCTTTTTTGCTGCCGTCAATCAAAGATAATCAGTCGGTATCTTTTATGTTCCCAACTGGCGGCAGTGAAAAACCCATTTCACAAGAAGCCGTTGGAATGTCCGAGTTCACAGAATATGGAAAACCCTAGTAACATGGATTAAGCATATCATATACTATTAGTCATCTTTTTGTATAACATGTTGCAATGATTGTGACAAATGTCACAACTGAATGCTCAACATAGAACAACCGTATGGGCAGTGAAAGCAGAGCTACTAACAGACTCAGGCAGGCAGGAGACTGGGGGGAGGGAAAGGGGAAGTAGGGCTGGGAGCTAGTCCAATCAAAGCTGGTACCAACTCAGGTTCCCAAATAGATTTTTCTATGGGCCTCCTCCTCCATCCCTTTTCCTCTTACCCAGTCCATTGCCATTGCCTGTTCACCGGCTTAAAGCCGAGCTAAAAATAGTGGCTGCTCAATGTGTGACCAGTCAAGAGAACAAGCCCAAGAGTTTGGTTTTGCTGGCCATTTTTTTAAAGTCCTGTAAAAGGAAAAACCTGTATAGAATTGGACTTCAGTATATATTTTTAATATTATTTAGAACCTTACCAATTGGGTTGAGTTTTTCTAAACTTTCTGTAGCTACAATGGACTACTAATATAACAATACAGCAGCCATCTTGCCAGGGGGCAAAACAAAACAAAGATGATGGAAAGTATAAAGAGTTTCACTTGCTTATCTTTCTTTTATGGGTAAAGGTGATCAATGTGGTAGCCTATTTCATGAGTTTTGCTATTTTCTCTAGTTCAGACTCATCCTGAACCGTATTTATTTTTGAAACTATTAAAGGGCAGGTCCATTCAGTTCTGAGTAGTGTGGAACATTAATATAGTGCATACCATATATCCCTGAAAAAGTTAACTAGCAAAATTGTACACATTAGTGCAAAGTTTTCTGGTTCTACTGAACTTACTAATTTGTGCAAATTAAAATGTTTTTCATGGATATGATATATGGTATTATCACTTTAACATTGTGGTAAATTATTTGTGAAATACCTGCGAATTATATTCTAAACTAATAGCACCAGGTTTTTTTATGCAAGTAGAGAGTGGGTCACCAGTATATCACCATACATATATGTACTATTCAATCATATTACAATATTTCTTTAATATTTACTGTTTAGTGTAACTATATCGACTGGGACTGTTTGGGAGTTTATTATGGTTAAGGTGTGGAATACTATGCTTTGTATCAATTGTGTATATTTTGATGTTGAATTTGATAATGGAAGTTAAATAAATAAAAATGTACTCATTGTTTTTGTTTGCCATTAACAGGATGCATTGTGGCCTAGGCTCGTGAAATATACCATGTTTGCTATCTCAGACAAAGACTATAGAGTGCATACCATATATCTGAAATACTTTGTAAGAAGTTGCACAAATTAGTAAGTTCACTTCAGTAAACCTCTGTAGATCGTAGATCTACAAAACTTTGTACTATTTGTATAATTCTTCACAGATTTATGATATGTACTCTATCTTAAGTGTTTTAAAGAAAAAATGACAATGATTTGAAGGTTGAAGGTCAATTTAATATACAACATGACAAAATTGCAGTTACACTTTATCTAGGTCTCTTGCATTACCCTAAGACGATGGACAGCACTTCTGACAGTTGCAGCTGCAGTTGTACTAAAAAAAGAAAGAAGAACATATTTTAATACAATATCCATAACTTCAGTCTGAGCAGAAATACAATTGTTCATGGTAGGTATCAATCCTCTATCAGGACTTAAAGCAATGGCCAGTCACTAGACAATGTCCGGCCAGAATTGAAAGTTGTCTGGTCAAATTCTTGCCTTGCTGGTCATTTTGACAAGTAACGTTGAGCATGAAATGAGGTATGACAAAGCTAAACCTAATTTGGCCTATTATCATGAACCCAACTGACCGGTTATTATTTTAAGCCTTGTAGGTTATTCTTACAGAGTTTTCTTGTTTGACGAAACAAACTGTGTCAGTGTCCCCTTTATTTAGAAGCAATACCACACAAGGATTCAAGGGCTATGAACTTTATTCATTAGATATGTAGACATGTAGTTAGTACATTTCTGGGGAATCCCAAAATGTAATGATAATAGTATAAGTAACTTTTTGGGTCTTTGATAGTGACCTCTGCATATATTGAGCAACTAATGAAATAAGGATATTACGAATCACAAAGTCTAAAGCAATTACTATAATCAAAATTCTTTAAACAGGGCTAAAAATGAGACCAATGAATAGACAATGTCCAGACAAAATTGTCACTTGTCTGGCCAAACGCCTCAGGCTGGTCCTTTAAATCTAGTCACATGAACTGCCTTTATTGTTAGCTTCGTTAAAGTTACATATATGTCTTACCTGACAACCCATGCACCTCCAGCGACAGTCTTTCCACATCCCTTACAGTGCCAGATTCCTACACACTTCCTCTTAAGAGTTTCCTGTTGATATGAATGACACTCAAGTTGAGATCCTTAGAAAAGTAGAATCAGAACTTTTATAATACCAGCAAACTGAACTGCACAATGGACCCTGATCACAAAGCACCACCCTCCCATTAGAAGRAAAAAAAACAGTTTTTGCCAATAACCTCATCTTGAAGCACTTACAGCCATTCTCAATTACTTGCACCGCTCTAGCGATTGTTTCTGTCGCGATGAAGAAGCTTTTGTTGGACGTCAATCAAGGCATTTCCATGACATTCTATAGGCACCTGCCCTTATAGCTTTGAGTTTTCCGACAATATTATGGAAATGCCTTGTGATTGACGTCCACCAAAACCTTCTTCGTCACAACAGAAAGAATCGCTGGAGGGCGAGTGTGACTGAGAATGGCTGTAAATGTGAGGCTATGCTGGGAAAGGTCTATCATTCCAGTGAACATGACTCATGCATGAGAAAGGTCTATTCTATCATGAGATATTATCTTGGTACAAACAATCTAGTCTGAGTGATAGGAACTAGCATAGAAACTTTGCCATAACCTTGGAAAAATTCAAAACAAGTACTCATGTTTTGATTTGTCTTTTTGCGCTAGTTGCTATCGCAAAGAAGTTTTACTTGAGTAGCAAATCAGTTCCAGACTAGTTCATAGTCAGCATACGTATGTGTAAAGACTTATTTCAGGAGATCACAATTGAAGAACTCACTTTTCCACAGAAGAAACATGTGTACTTGGAGTGCTGGGTAATTTCGATCTTCTTGATCATCTTTCTTAGTGAGGCACCATAACGAGTACCATATTTTCCGACAACTCCAACCTTCCTTGTTCTTTTGGCCTACAACATACCGCAATTATAATCTAGAGTTAAAATCACCAGAATGGATAAAAACTCAAAATAATTGCACCCGAGTATTAAATATACACTTAAATTTCTGATAAAATAGTATTTTTAGTGTGATGATATTTATTATCTAAGATTTAAATAGATTTTCTTACCATGACTAGTTCTGGCTGAGAATCGGCCACAGAAAGAAACAGAGAGAGAGCATCCGGGAACTTTGACGTAAGACCAAGGCCCGCGATCACTGGCCAGTGGTTATCAGATTTGGTGAAACGGTATATAGAATATTACCCAGCGCGCCAAATAGAAAATTTATTTCCCGGGAATTTCGCAAATTTTTTATTTTACTTCCCAAAAAATCCTTCCGCTTTGAATAAAAGAAAACCACCTCATGCACTATTCTGTGAAGAAATTGAAGAAATAGCTTCTTTTACTTCAAAATGAGCAAGAAGAAAGAGTCTGGAAGTAAGAAAGCCTGATTTTTTTACGTCGAAATATAGAGGAAGATCTATTTTTTTCCCTCCTTGTACTTCCCTTGGTGCGAAACTTAATGCTGATTCTTTTTCAGCTGAAGAAGCGGTGTTAACTTACCTTACGAAAAACAACAGGCCTTATAGTGCAGGTAGAGACAGCTAAAAAATATTTATCACTTTATAATATTTTAAAGTTTTTCGAGTAAAATTTAGAAATTGAGTAGCTTGCTGTTGTTTCAAAAAACTGTTTTCTCTTTTCAGTTGATATTTTTACAAATTTGCACAAGGAATTTGGGAAAACAGTAAGTATGGTATAAAGGGTTAGCAAATTGAATGTTTAGTGTGCTTTGTTATTTTGAATCTCTATGAATTATTGTCATTATAAGGATAGGGAGTGGCTGAAGAGGGTATATTCATAGTTAATAGAGGGGTGCCTCCCCTCTCCTAGTTAGTGGTTTATTGATAATAAGTATCAATAAATTTCGTAGCTTGGGCATAACGTTTTCACATTTTAAACCATCTCTTATTCTCCTAAGAATCTTTTTTTTTTTGTACTTGATGCAACTTATGCTCAAGAGGTTTGAAATAAGAAAACATTACTCCAAAGAGAAAAACAAGGAACGGTTCAGAGAGTAGGGAATGGCTTAAGACAGAGGCTTTTCAAGGGAAAATTAAGAACAGGGAGAAGGGAGAAATGGCAAAAAAATAGGTAGGAGGGAGAGAGAGAGAAAAATGGCATAAAAATAGAGAGGGAGAACATTTAAAGGCCTGTTCCTTTCTGCTCCATTAATAATCTAAATAATTTGTATTATCTTGCAAACAGGCAGTGCAAAAAAGCCTAGAAAACCTTGCTACTCAGGGTAAAATAAAAGAAAAGCTGTATGGAAAACAAAAAGTATATGCTCCATTACAGGTATGAAAGAAGTCAGGGGTAGAAGTAAGAACCAGGAAGTGATAAAAGGAGAAACCAAGAGAAAATAGCATCATAGAGGAACCGTCATAGAGACACAATGACTTACAGGAAAGCTAAGGAATCCCTTGCAAAAGTGGGAACCAGCGTGCTTCAACCCTCTGCTCAATCTGTCCTGCGCATTTGATCTTATTCAATGTGTTAATTTGCGCATTATCAATATTAAAGATTAATATTCCTCTATTGATTTTAAAGGGTTAGCTAAAACAATTTTAGCTGCCATAATTCTACTTTTGCTATAAAGGGCATTCTTATTTTATTAGCTAATTTACTGGTACTAAAGAGTTTTCAGGATATTTATAATTAGCCACCGTTTATCTGTATACAATTAAATTGTGAGAAAAAGTTCCCTTTTAAATAAATAAATTAAATAAAGTATCTATATCAGACAAATTAATGCACCTAAATTCCGGATGTCTGGGTTTTTGACTTCAGTTGAAAAAAATTATCRACAGACTGTGGTTGACTGAAACCAAAACTCTTCTAGGTTTATGTTTATCGTTCGTTTGTCTAAGTAATTGTGAAAACAGATGGAAAAATCTCTTTGAATCAAAGAATATTCTTGTCAGGCACTCTTCATCTTCTTGACAGTGTTTTTCTTGTCTGACTTCAGGATCATTTTGGTGATTTTAATGAAAATGAAATAAAAACACTAGATGATCAAATAAATAAACTACAGGCAAAACTCAAGATTCTACAAGAAACATACAAGTCCAATGAGTCTGGTAAATATACCATCAATAACCCTTCTAAAGAATAAGACTGATATACCTGTCAGTATATTCTTCTATTACTCCCATCATTATTATATGTAATTAACTCACACAAGTCATATTATTCAGTACAAAGTGTATTTATTTTTGAAAGAATGGATTTGAAAACATGAATGATTCTCTAATGAAAGCTAAGTAAGGTCTGATCCTCCCCTCCCCCCCACCCACCCCTCAGCCCATTTCCCCCCTACCCCTGGCCTGAGACATGAAAAATCCTACTGGGAATTACAGGTATTGACTCTGCAGTAGTGGGGATTTTTCTACTGCTGATGCAGAGTAACCTTAATTACCTCCAATATTTGTTTTCTGAGTCATTGTTGGTTTTTAATATTATTTTCATACTAGACCTGAGAAAACTCAATAATAGTTTGACCACAGAAGAAGCAACAGAAAAGCTGGCAGAGCTTGTAAAGAAGGTTAGTTTAGATAATGTAATCAGCTACTTTGCATGACTGAGAAAAACGTGCATAGATGTATGAGGCTATGACCATTACAGTTTAAGCATATACATGCATCAAAAATGTTGAATTTTTATGATTACCCATAAATTAAGGGTGGCAACAGTGGYGTAGTGGTACAATGTTGGCCTTTCAAATTCTGCAGATGCCATGTAAGAATAGAGTTTGTTTGATTTGTCATTCTCACTGGTCCCTTGGCACGGAGGATTTTCTTCTGGTTCTCTGATTTTCCTCCCTCATCAAAAATCCACATGTGAGTTGAGAGTTGTGTGCTTAAAACATTAAATATAGTGATAGTGAGTGTGAAGTGTGTTGTATTAACATTACCACCTGGCTAGGAAGACTTGGCAACGACTCATAGTATCATGATGTAAAATAAAAAGATTGATTTGGATTGATTTAAATTAAACCTGAATTGTAAGGGATGTGGTGAGAACTGAAACACTAGAAGCAAACGAAACAGAATTACAGCCTCGCTTTCATTTTATGGACTTTCAGTTGTGAAGAGATTGGGCATGGCTTCTGTCATTGGCCACAATCTAGCCACTGTTTTGTCTAGGCTGCCTTGTCCTACTCTCATAATTTCCAGGAACAGACTTTCCACTGGATAACATTCCAGATTTAGTGTCAAAATAAGTGGTTTTATTTCTGCTCTTTGTTCTTGCAGATTGAAGGATATGAGAAAAGACTTACAAAGATAAAATCTGGTAAGTACAGAGAAATGTTCATTTGACCCCCTAAATGATATTTATTATGTACACCTTATACGAAAGCTGTTAAACAATAAAATAAACCACTGAGTTATTTATCTCATATTTTGCTTCATACTGTGTCAATGCTTTTATTTTATTTCATTTCACTTTTTATTCTTAAGTTGGAAATATTGCTCAAAATTGTTTTTCAGCTGAAAACCATGTAACTCCCAAAGAAAAAGATGCTGTAAGTAAAACCTTAAATTAGACTGACATAAATTGATGTCTACAATGTATAAATTGATCAATGTATCAATGCCGCCTGATTGGATGAGCTACAACTTGGCTATAAGTTACAGCCTACTAGTTAGCAAATAGTGCTGACTTTAAAAGCCAAAACATCAAATTTAACTTTCATTCAAAACTTGTTTGCATCGACATATTTTACCTACTAATTGGATTTGACTAAAATAATAGAGTACTAGTAGCTCAGCAAATCAGAGCACAAGATATGCGATATGCGACCACTGGTAGGTTTATGCTAATTGATACTAAAACCCAATTCTTCCCTGACTTTAAAGATCACTATCACATTTATTTTCACAGATCTACAAGAACCACAAGACTGCAGTGACATTGTGGAGGAAAAGAAAACGAATGGTAATACTTTAACATCGTGTTCTACAACCTTTTTTCAGTTTTACTGGTGTACCATTGAAAGGAAAATTATTTTTGGGAAAAGTGAAGTGTCAGAGCAGATGGAGTCGCATAGTGTCTGATGTGATAATGTATAACATAACTCTGCTGATTTAATAAGTAAAAGAGAAAGAGCCTTTAAATTCTTTCATTGGAATTAACCGCCAACCGGTTGGCTCAGTTGGTTGAGCATCAGACTTTTCATAATCATAATCATAATCATATAATCATATATTCAAGATAAATATTCTCAGCTGGAGTGACAGCAAACCTTATTTGTTTATTAAATTAATTCTATTTGCAGTGTACAGACATCATCAATTCAATTCTTGAAGGATATCCAAAACCAAAGAAACAGCTCATTGTGAGTAAAATGGAAAATGTTTGTTGACATTATTGACATTTATTACTAATAATGATAGTACTAGCACCCTACAGAGTGTGTGTGTCGGGGGGGGGGGGGGGGGGGCTAATTTTGGAAAATAATGCACAATGCTATTACCTATAATGTAACAATTTGAATAAATGTTACAGCATCTAGTTTTTAATTCCTTCCATTTTTTTCCTCATTGAAAAAAAAATACTGAATTCAATATTTATTTCTGGTTAATTTTAACCTTTTTATCTTAGGAGGATGTTGGCCTTGAAACTGATGAAGAATATGGTGCAGTATTACCAAAAGCATAGTGTTCTATAGATTTATTAAAGGTTATAATTCCCTAGTTGTTTTGATATAGGAAGTCAACATTTGAAGACTTAGAAAAAGTACAAAAAATGACATAAAAGTTTTTGTAAGAGTAGGAAACCTAAGGTACACCGGCACCTTCATGCTTAGTGAGATACTCATTGGGAGCTTTGGGATGCTCCAGTATGTAAATAATATACTACTATATGTAATAGGACTTCATGCTGTCCACTTCAGAAATATTTGGACAAGGAAAATTCCGAGGACTGACGAAATTGGATGAGGCCGTAGGCCGAGTCCAATTTGGCAGTCAGAGGAATTTTTTGAGTCTAATTATTATTTCTTGATTGGGGAGCATGAAATCCCATTACCGATTAATTATATAGCTGCCTAATTAATCCCATATCAACAAGACCTGTCCAATTAAGAAAATAATTATGATTGTAACGAAGGATCTATAGGTAACAGAAATAGGAAAGGAAATGTACGGAAGTGGGGGAAGAGGATGGTGATATAGATATTGGTTGGTGAAGTGTTCAAACAAATGGATGTATGACTAGGGAAGGTAACCCTTTCCTATTTTGTGAGGGTTATCATAAAATTGTCATTTTGAAGCATGGGTAAACATAAAATTCATTTTTTTTTCTTCAAAAAATTTCTAAAAAGTCACCAAACCTTCCCTTGGTTTTCTGAGGAATAGCTATCTCTAACTGGGGCAACTTACACCATGAGTGGAGACAATCAGAAACCTAGGCTGCATGAAAGAATTTGTAATTTGACCCTGATTTTACGTGTAAACAACTAGATAGCCATCGTCATTTTCTGGAAAGGCTATTRTTTTCTGCTGCTAACTGATTGGCTCCACCACCCAAAGTTGAAATGTATTGTTTTTACTATACAATTTGATCAGTTCTCCTTGTCCAAATGGCCACAGTTATAGTAGTCACACTGTAATGGAAAGTTAAACCACTGACACTATGTCGATGTCTGATTATATTGATGCCATTTAATATTTAAAATCATTTGGTTTTGACACATAAAAATAGTTAACTTAAAGAAGTGTTATGCCTTACAAAAAAGCCCAAGACTAAGTTTAGAATTTCATTGAAATAAATGAACTTAACAAATCTGCATTCTTAATATTTTTACAATGCAGATCCATTATGACTTTCTTTGGAGTCTAGCCAGCACATGCCTATTTAACCACCTGTGTGGCTAGTTGTCTAGTTTCTACAGGACCACTTCCCCTACCTTTTTGAAACATTAAATTTGTAAAGATTTGCTTCTTTTTTTTTTTAACTACTGTCCCATTGTGGTTTTCCCAATTTGGATAGCTTTCTTTGTTCAATATTTCCCAACCAGTTCACTTCCCATGTACAATAGTGATAATTTTAAAAATAACAAAAAATCTAGCTGCTTTTCCCTATATATTAGAGTTCTGAAAATTAATGAAATAACCTTACCAGTAAAATAATGATCATATCTAGTTAGCAAGAGTGAACCGTGATGATGACTACTTTATCAGGGTTCGTGCTGAGGTAACCACTTAACATTCAAGGACTATTCAAGGAGTATACAAGGACCCAAAAATGAAATTTCAAGGAGTATGTTCAGTAAAATTTGCCAAGGTTTTACACGGTGGTTGCACATGGCCGACTTTCCGATTCTCCAGTCTTTCTGACTAGATCTATTTCAGAACCATGCAAGCAAGGAGTTTCGCTAAAATCATAAAATGCAAGAGCTTTTCAAGTGCCCTTGAAAACGTAAATTAAATTCAAGGAGTTTTCAAGGAGTTTAAGGAGTAGCACGAACCCTGCTTTATAAAGCTGTGGTTTCTATGGCTGGCTTTTAAGGTCCTGTTACAGGTTACAATTTCATGTGCAACTTGTCTTGTGGAGTGGGGGGGGGGGGGGGGGGGGGGGGGGGGTTTCTGGGGCAACAAACTTGTGCTGTGTGTAACATAGGTTTGTTCAGCCTGCAACTATTTTGTTTGAGAGACAAGTTGCATAAGACATGGTAGTAGTAAAAAACTWGGCATTTCTTATCCAGTCATTCATAAAAATATCTATTATACCACTAGTAACGGAGTATGATATATACTATTGATAATCATAGGTTATTCCTTCATGTTCCTCCTAAAGCCAGAGTGAGTCATTATTAATTCGTAACCCATACGTAGTCGAATAGCTTCATAACATTTTCGTAGATTGTGAAGACAAAGGCCACATCAAAACAAACCCTTCCAAGTCGTGGCACTGTTCCCTTGTAGAAACTGCAATGACAAAATATTACATCATACAAAAAAGACAATGTGGGTGGCTATATTCTAATACGACATGCTTGTTAGATTTTGCACGACTATTATGTATGTATTCAGTATGTTGCAATCCTGTGCTTTTTGATCAGCTGATACGACCAACAGTCAGCCAATGCATGACAAAAAATTGAGGTGTTAGAGATGTATCAAAAATGCAATATTGACCTACGGTTGGCCAAATGTTTGTTGATATGATATGTTGGTTGTTTGTCATGATTAGCTAGTTATAACACTGTGTAATAGACCTTTTCAGACCATGTGTCATTTCCTATAGTATCATTTGTTTAACTCAGCTTGTACATGAAAAGATACATGAATGGATAGAACTCAATTTATTGAAGAATTATTATATTCCCAGGAGAATGACACGTGATCTGTAATGGGAAAACATTACATCCAAGCAAAAAAGGTAATTTACCACAGTGCAACCTTCACATGCTTTCAGTTCGACCCCATTGGGCTGTGCCACTGCCATATTTGCAATGGTGATTAGTGATAAGTTTTTTTCAGTTTTACAATAAGCATAATATCCAAACTACTTACGCTTTGGGGCCTTCATGTTTTGCTATTTTAATGGCACAGTCTAGGGTATTTTTATATTTTTGAGCTTCTAAACCCTATAAAACAAAGTTTATTCAAAATCATTAGAAATGACAATATGTAGAAGCAAAGTATCTGAGAGTAAAAAGATGGGAAATGAAAAGTATTACAATTCATAATATTATTCATAAACCTTTCCCCTTCCATTGATTCTTTAAAATTTACCTCTTAAGGGATGAGACTCATTGTTCAGAGCTTTTTCACTTTTGTGACAGGCAGCTATATTGGTTTTTCAAAGGATAGAAACTTCATGCACGGTTTTTGCATAAAAATAGAGTTTAATTCCAGAAGGATAGAAAATGTATTGTTTTGGTATGTCAACATGGCCGCTGTGATGTCAAGTAAAAATGCTCTATAGCCAGACATTATGCATACCCCCATGCACATTGGTCAGGGGTGTGGGGTTGCAGTTTTCACCAGAGGTGTGGTTTTGAGTAGGGGTGTGAGGGAGGTGTTCTCCCATAACATTTTTATCCCAATTTATTCCCATTTCTAGTTTTATTCTCTCCTACTATTTTCCCCATTTCTGGGTTTAGTTTTATAGATTCAGCTTAATATTTTCCCATTTCAGACTACATGGAATTCCCTAGGGTACTGTCCCAAAATTTCCCCAGTTATAGGAATTTATTATCCCAATTCTTTTTCCATTTCTGGGTTTACTCTGTCCTACTATTTTCCCATTTCTGGGTTTGTTTTTATAGATTCAGCTTAATCTTTTCCCATTTAAGACCACATTTCATTCCCTAGAGTATCAATTTTCTTTGTTTTACATGACACATGAATATGGATACAACTCAAACAAAAAATCTATTCTTAAGGTCACATGGTCTAAAAACATACTAATGCAGACTTTAATTCCACTTTAGTAGCTTTCAGCCAATCAGAGAGCACAATTCGTTATAGAGCATCCTATAACAAAACGTGCACTCTGATCGGCTAGAAGCTACTATAGTGGAATTAAAGTCTGTGGCATTAGTGATAGACCAGTAGCAAAAAATGTATGGCCTCATGGGTTAGTGGGCCTAACGAGAACTTTACCTGCATTCTTGTTTTCACTACATCAACTGGAGTGTTTCCAAACACACTAGCAGCACCAGCAATGCCACCAATGATGAATGTCTTAATAGAACCAATATCTTTCCTAGGGTCCCCTCCCTGAAGCCAGGACTTGAGATTAGAATACACAAAGAATCGAATCATTTGATTTGTTCCTTGTTTGATGACAGTGGCAGTTACACCTTTGTAAACACCAGAAAATCCTGGAAAAAAAACATTTTGAAACAAACGAAATGTCATTATAATAGCAGATATTATGGATGCATGCAAATCAGTTGCAAATGAGATCAGTTATTAATGCACATTCAACCACTAATTGACCAATCAGAGCATACATGCATTATAGCATGCCAATGCAGTTTGGCATTCAAATTCAGGTTTTAGACGCTAGTTGAATACTGTAATTCATTATTTACCTTCTGTTTTAAGAATAGTTCTGACACCACTAAAGAATCCCTTGTACTTAGGGTTTGATTGTGTCTGATCATGGATAAACTTCACCTTAACGGTCTCCATAGGGCAAACAATGATTATAGCTTCTGATACTCCAGCACCAAGTCCTGCAGCAAGGGTCTGGACTTGTGTCATCTTTCCATTTTCATCTGACATCGTATTTTTTAGATATTCAAAAACTGAAAACCTTTAATATAGAGAACCAAATTTTAGTTTGGCATGACAGTTTCGTCCATTAAATGTGTTGCAACCTCCAAAGTATTTACAGCAATGTGCAAAAGTAAAAGTATGACCAGAGATAATGTTGCATAGTTTTAAGCAAGGGCTTTTGTACCAACACATTTTGATGTGAAGGTGGCTTGTTTTACCAAATAAGGCATCATTGTACAAGCTCATTTTGCAGCAAAAAGCTTGTGCATAAAATAAAGTATGTGAATACACAAAATGTGCTCATACTAACTTCAATGGCCATAAAGCATGGTTATGTCAGTGATCTTGCCCGTAACAACATGCACATTTCAATTACAAAACTCAACTGACAAGCGTTAGTTATGAATGTCAATTTTTTCATTACTCCACTTGGACTACAGATGTAATGATAATTTGTTATTCATGTGCTAACTAAAGATTAATTGGTTAGTCACTCAAAGCAGCTTGCGACAAGTTTTGTGTAAATGGTTTTCAAATTAACATCATGGTGGTTTTGCTTGTAAACATGAAGTATCATCGTTACGATAGAAGAAAAAAATGGCCCAATATTGAACAACTCACCTAACAGAAGCTTTAGGTATAGATCCATAAAGTAAAGAGCTTAATCCCCTGTATAAGCCTAAAACACCATGGCTCTTAACTGTCTTTGATACACAGTCTATTGGCCCTTTGTACTTGGGCAGGGCGGCTTTTTCATCCAGCTGTATCTGTGTCTTGACATACTCCGTCGGAAACGTGCAACAGATTTCAAGGCCTCCAGCAATACCACCTAAATGAACATTATGGCAATTAGAAGAGATAACTAGCTAAAAACCAGTGTGAGCTGCGTCGGTGTTTCTAATGAAACAGTAATGAAAGGGTAAATTATAGACCGTGAAAAGATGAAAAACTAATGTTTCGGACGTCAGTAAGTTTTTTCATCTTTTCACAGTGTATAATTTACCCTTTTATCATTATGGCAATAGACCCTTTTTGAGTTCCAAATTACCACTGTGTTTCTTGATTACAGACTCATTTACTCAGGCTTGGCCTTGAGTCAGTGTCTAATTACTCAAAAAAAACAACGGTAAAGTAAAGAATGCACAACTGCAACAATACACTTTGAAACTTGATGGACCTTGACTGGAACATGTGAATATTCTTCACAAAATCGAGGCTAAGCCTGAGTAAATAAGTCTGTAATCAAGAAACACAGAGGTAATTTGGAACTTGAAGAGGGTCTATTAAAATAACATCAAAACAATGTTAAAAATGTGTACTCTTTGTGTTAATAAAGTACTATTCAAATGACCATAAGAGAAACAAATAGGACAGTCAATGGCCGCCTAATATCTACTCCAAATTTTTTTTTTTAGTGTGAAAAAAAAAAAAAGAAAATCGACAAGATCTAACTACTGTCTAGGCTCATCTGGCCAAATATGTACGCCCATAATGAATATTATGATAAATATTCAATATTATGATTAAATATTATGGAGATGTTCTTCTAATGCCATTCAAACACCATCAACATTGTAGAATGACAACTTCTTCAGTTTCAGTTCTTCAGTTGTTCTTTACTTTTTTTTGAGTCATGAACATTAATGGGAAATTTTCCTGTTTGTTTTAGCTCAGTTCTTTTTATTGGAATGATGATCACTTGGACTAGTACACACCCCCTTCACACCCCCAACAATTCTTTACCAGGATTTTTATGTTGGCATTCTTTATATTTACGTTCAAACGTAATCTAAAGCCTGTTTTACTGTTCTTCTAGTAATACAAAGAATGTAGGACAGTAAACTACAATTTATTAAACCTTGGTGAAAAACAAAAGTGTTTCGAAAAGATTGTTTCGTCGACGTACACAATTGACACGTTCTCTACGGAATGACCGTGTATCAACGATGCACGATCACTTCGATCGCCACGTCGACAAATCAAATCAAGGAGTCTTCAAAACTCTTTTGAACATTTTTTCTCTTTAGAATCGTTTAATAGGGTTTGATCTTCCCTTGTCCTAAATCTTGTAATTTAGTTTATTTTATAGTTGTGCCAAGACCCTATTATAATATTGCATCAGAACACCCTCATTGTCAAATACGTCGTCGCGTCACGTACGTACTGATCAGGGATAACAATAGACCTACGAGCAATATCGCACTACAAACATGCACTCAGAAAATAAGAAACACTCAAATTACGGTACAGTTTATGAAAGCAAGTCCTACATTTAATGGTACAGACTTAATTGCATAGGTTTTATAGAGTTTTAGGGTGAGATTTTTTTGTACAAAGACAAATGCTAATGGTGGAAAGCAGGGTGGAAAGAGTGCATAGGGTTTGAAAAACGACCTTTGAACCGATTCAAAGACAATGAAAGTACTTGGCAAAGCTTTGAGAAAAAGCTTTTTATAAATTTTAAAAAAGATCACAAGCCAAGCCAACTACGCATACAAAATCAAAATGAAGAGGAAAAAGTGAAGGTTTGGATTCAAGCACCGTGAAATAGAGCAGATCAAAAAAAAACTTAAGTAGGGATATATATAGCTAGTGCCTCTTGTTTGAAATTAGGTTAAACAATATATTAAGCTAAACCTCGAAGGATCTTGGACTTTTTGATTAAAAGGGTCTCTAACCTTCATGGTTATTTCATAAAAACAAATTAAATATGTTTAAAATAATAATACTGATCAATTTTACCAGCTAAAACGGCCTTGACTGGATGACGTTTTGTGCTACCTCCACCACCAACTGAAGCACATAATCTTTTTCGGTAGAATTTAGCTGGATCAGGGACAGCTACGAGAGATCCTCGATTATACGACTCCCCAACAGAAGACATGGTGATTTATACGTGCTTCAATATTAGTGAGCAGAGGTATGGCTGCTTAACTGTGACTCCAACAGAAGTGCAGTATTTTGTTTTCGTTGTGTCGATATGGTTCGAGGTTTATGAGCGATCTGATTGGTCCGTTTCAATGGCTATCGTTTCAGAACTACGTGATTGGATTAGATTTATCACATGCWATTTTATTTACTTGCTACCCCGTCAGGGTCAGTACTTCATGTAAGACCCCATGTACTGGCACTATTATACTTGGTTCTACACTGTATACATACACGATATAGGATATACTTATAACGTTACTTATATCACTGTATTCATGTGTATTCACTGTATTCATGTGT